AAGTCACGTGATGTACAGACTCTTCGTGCGCTCGGCGTCTGTCTTCGCGTCAACGAACTGGTGGCGTTGATTCGTGACGATGCCGATCACGCAGACAGGACACCCTGGGCAGGACCACTCGCGTGACCCGTGCCCATGGGTCATTCTGAACGACTTCGGCGGTGCGTTTGCCATGGGCTGCGTGGGCGGCACCATCTGGCACGGCATCAAGGGCGCGAGGAACTCGCCGCGGGGCGAACGCATGCTGGGCTCCGTCGCCGCGGTCAAGGCACGCGCGCCCGTTTTGGGGGGTAACTTTGGCGTGTGGGGAGGCCTCTTTACGACTTTTGACTGCACGGTCAAGCACGTTCGCCAGAAGGAGGACCCGTGGAACGCGATCATTGCTGGGTTTTGCACCGGCTCTAGTCTGGCGATTCGCGGTGCGTGCTTTCGTGCATACGCACTGTGCTCATGCGGCAGGTGGTCCGAAGACCGCGATGGGTGCCGGCGTCATGTGCGGCATCCTCCTTGGTGTTTTCGAGGGTGCGTCGCCTGTACACGCCTACTCACACCGCAGGCGTCGGTGTCCTAATGCAGCGTCTCCTGGCTGAGAACAACCGGCCGGTACGTATGCGCGCGTGCGCCGCACTGACCGCAGGTGGCACCGATCATGTGCGTTGCTTGCCCTCCGTCGTGCGCTGACGTGCAGTCCCGACACCCCGCCTCTTGCTGCGGGAGCGACAGCGCCGCACCCGTAATGCGGGGGCACGCGGATGCAGCCTGCGATCGGGCCGTCGTCCAGTCCACGCAAGCTATGCAGTTTGTGTGTAGTGTCCATCGCCGCAATGGACAGTATTCCCTACGAGAGCGCGATCGTGGATCATGCATGCGCTACGGCATAACTTGTCCACTGGGCAGCGCCCACCGCCGAAGCGCCGCGCACGTCGATGCGGTGCGGAGCGCATCCGGGGTTGGGTGCGCAGTCGGGGTGCGCGTCGCCGTAGATGTCACTTCCCACCACCCACACGGACCCGTCGGCCAGCAAGAGCACCGCGTGCTCGGAGCCACACGCCGCGTCCTTCACCATCACGTCGAGGAGGTCCTCGCCGAGGTCGACGGGTGCCGGGTCCGGTTCCGTGGCTGTGCCCTCGAGTGCGCCCCAGACATACGCGTCGCCGTCGTCCGTGAGGGCGATCGAGTGCCGGTTCCCGCACACAACCTTGGCGACGGACCCGGGAAACCCCTCGGCGCGCGAAAAAAAAGCCACCGGGTGGAGGTCTGTGGAGGAAGACACGCTGGGACTGGTGCCCAGCTGTCCGAAACGGTTGTCCCCGAGCGCCAAGACGGGGGCCTTGCGCGGCGCCGACGACGCACAGTGCGTCGTGTCCGCCACGAGCACGAAGTGTGCTCCGCCCGCGGCGACCGAGGAGAAGCGAGGCGTAGGTCCGCACGACGCAGAGAGGCGGACCGCAGTACGCGGGGCCTCGCTGGGCGCCTCCGGCGTGCGTTCCTGTGGCGCGCGGTCGCAGCCCGTCGCGCTGGCGGCACGCGTCTCAGCCAGTGCATGCGCGGAGGCGCACGCGGCGCGCGGATGGCGGTCGCGCGCCGCGTCGGCCTCCTTTTTACCCCATTTGTCCCATGACGCAAACGATGCGAATAACCACGCGTCTCCGCCGTCTGCTGTCAGCGAGCGCACCGCGGCACACGCACCCGTGATGGCGACGATGCGTCCACGCTTATCGCATGCGGCGTTGCGCCACCGCACCGCGGGACACCGCGCTGTGTGCTCCGAGCGCGCGATGGAATACATCCGACTGTCCGCCCCGATCCACGCAAGTGCTGTGTCCGCGCCCACAACGCGCGGGTGGCGCAGGCTGGGGACGCACGCGCGCGGCAGAGCTGGGGAGCGCGCGTCGTCGCGCTCCGTCGGCACCCTGCCGACCTCCGCACCCATCCTATGCACCGCGCCGCACTCTTCCCAAAACACCTGCGACCCCGTGACGCCGAGCAGGCAGGGCGACGTTGCCCCCCCTGCCACGCGGAGCGGCTCCCGCACAGTGAGCCCCACGTGCGGGGCACCGATCTGTCCGCAGAGATTCGACCCCCAGGCATACAGTGCGTTGGGCATGCGCGCCGCGGAGCGCCCGATGCAGCGGACCCAACGGCAGACGCAAGTTCTGCCACCGGGACGCGGCGGCCCCCCCGATGCAACAGGCCCGATCGCGCACGACTTCTCGCCCCCCCTCGATGTCGCGTATAGCACTGGTGCGCGGCGCCGTGCGGCGGGCATGCATACACACACGCGCGCGGCCATCCGCATGTCTTATAGATGCACTTGAGCGGCGTGGGCTCGTGCAGACAACAACGAGCAGTGCGCTCGCGCAGCACATGGCAACGCATGACGCGGATGGATCCCTTGTGCGCCGCACCGTATACTCCGGCGTCGACCCGAGCGCACCCAGCCTGCACGTCGGCAATCTGCTGCCCCTCATGGCCTTGCTGCACTGCGCGCTGCATGGGCACACAGCGCTTGTCCTGGTACGGGGTGCGGAGCGCTTGTTGACCACAGATCGGCGGCGCGACGGGAGCCGTAGGCGACCCGTCCGGTCGGTCCGCGGAGCGGTCCGCACTGGACGCGGACCGACTCACCCAGAATGCCGCGTCCATCCGCGCACAAGTGCGCAAGTTTTTTCACAGTGCTGCAGCGTACCTGTCAAAGCGCGGGCAGCTTCCGGGTAGCCAAGTGCGGGCGAGCGGCGCGCACGGATTGGGCGACGCGCCGTGTGCAGGAGGCGCGGAGCCGGCAGGCACCGCGGCCGCGGCGGCCGCGCCTCCCACGGGAGAACCGCTCGTGGACGCCGGCCTGGACGTGCGCATGCTCAACAACCTCGACTGGTTCCGGCACCTCTCCGTGCTGGACTTTTTGGGCGGCGTCGGACGACATGCGCGCGTCGGTGACATGATGGCGCGCGACAGGTATGCGCGGACAGGATCCTGCTGACGCCAGCGTGAAGAGCCGCCTGGCACCGGGGGACGTGGGGCCGTCTGCGGGCCTCTCGTTCACCGAGTTCTCATACCAGCTGATGCAGGCGCACGACTACAGTGTGCTGCACGGCGCGCCGTGGCACTGCTCCCTGCAGCTCGGCGGCTCCGACCAGATGGGCAACATCCAGGCCGGCATCGATCTCATTCGGCGACAGCGCGCTGCGGCGGCGGAGCGCACGTCTATGCGCGCCGACCCCGCGTATGGACTGACGCTGCCACTGCTGACAACCGCGTCCGGAGCCAAGTTCGGCAAGTCCGCGGGCAATGCGGTGTGGCTCGCGCGCGAGCAGCTCTCGGACCTCGACTTTTTCCAGTACTTTTTCCGCAGTGCGGACGCGGACGTCGCCATCTATCTGCGCACGCTGACCCTCCTCGACTGCGCTGACATCGATGCGGTACTCAATGAGCATGCGGCTGCGCCGTCGCGGCGGCTTGCGCAGACGCGGCTCGCCGAGGAGGTTATTGAGCTCGCCCGCGGCCCGGACGCGCTCCGGCGCGCGCAGCTTGCGACCAGGGTGCTCTTCAGCACCGACGTGCACACGCTCGCGTGGGACGACGTCGCGTTTGCATTTCACGGCGACCCACGCCTCGTCACCGTCCCGCGGGACGCACTCGGCGCGGATATACTGCGCCTCGCTGTGGACGCGGGGCTTGTCCCGTCCAAGGGTGCGTCGCGGCGTGGGTCCTCTAACGGCAGGCGACGCGCGGCGCCTCATGCAGCAGGGCGGCCTGTACGTGAACGATGCGGCTGTGCGCGACCCGGCGTTCACGCTGCAGGCGGAGTCGCTGCTAGACGGGCGGTTCGTCATTCTGCGCGCGGGCAAGACGAACCACAAAATCGTTGCCTTTCTATGACGGCGGCAGGGGAGCCGCTGCTCAGTCAAATCGCGCGCCGCCGAGCGCATCCAGCGGGCGCGCATCGATGCGGGGGTCGAGCACCAGAGACGACGAGGACGCATTTCCAGAAGTCGTGCACTCCACGTCTCTCCCGGGCGGTCCAGGCACCGCGGACAAGAGCGGGAGTAGGTTAAGCTCCAGGCCATCCGACCGCTCTGTGGGAACACGGCGCGGTCCTGACGGGAACGGCTCCTGTGCCTTGGTATCAAAGGGAAGCGCGTCCCGCAGCGCCTGAAGCACGGCTTCGCGGCTGTCGGCGGCAAGGGTGTTCCAGTGATGCCGGACCTGTCCGTAGAGCCAGTGGAGCTGCATCTCCTGTGGATCCTGCCACGACGTGGTGTCTCCGTCGTCGCCCCAGCACGCCGCGGGCGGGGTGCTGCCACCCGGTGCAGGGGTGCCCGACGCGCGTGGGGCATGCCGCGCGAGCGCCTGCCGGCGCAGCAGCTTGCGCGCGTCGTAGATGGTCTTGATCGTCGACACGTTGTCGGGAAACCGTTCCTGGATGCGCGTGAGGATGTGCTGCGGCTTGCATCCCGTCTCGGTGAGCGTGCGGACGACATCCATCTCGGCATCGCTCAGACGCCGCAAGATCGGATGCTCGCTGAGCACACCCTTCGACAGAGGGTGATTGTGCGAGACGTCACGCGCCTCGAGCTCCCATTCGCTGCTGCCTGCGCGCTTCCTCCCGCGCACCTCGTACGGACAGCCAATGAGGCTCGTGGACTTCTTGTGAAACACCGGCTCGTTCCGCGCGAGGTAGTGTGGGCGTCGGTAGTTGCCGCCGCGGTCACAGCCGAGACGTACCCACGAGTCCTTCACGGACGACTTGCGGATCGTCACCGCGAAGCCGTCCCGTTTCCCCATCTCTTTCACATACGCAATCAGCGCCTCGCGCGACGCAAACCGTCGCGCGTAGTCGCCCGCCGGCGCCACACGGCTACTGCCATGCTCCGCATACATGGCGCGTCCGCGCGCGGAAACGAAGTGGTGGCCGCGATCCAGCGAGATGAAGGCGCCCGGCGCCCTGCATGCGCCGTGGGCGCGTTATGTAGTACGTGCAGCCCCTTTGCTGTCGACAAGCGGCTATCGTCTAGTGGTTTAGGATCTCACCTTCCCATTCGCAACGTGGCGCGTGCTTCACGCGGAAGTAGGTGAGGGCGGGAGTTCGAACCTCCCTAGTCGCATTTTTTGTTTTTTTTTGAGCAACTCCCGCATCTACAGACGGGCGGTCACCACCGCAGCATGTAGCGCAGCGGCAAGCTCCGCGCCCTCTGCATCGCCCAGCTCCCCGCGCCGTCCAAAGAGGGCCGCGGGCGTGGACTCCGCCCACTTGTCCAGGAGCGGTGTGCTGCCGGCTGCCGGCGCGGGTACGACGTGGAAGTGCACCTGGCGTCAGCGCGCGCGTGCATCCGCGCGTACATGGTCCACCGTCTGCGCAAACACCTGGTTCGTCGCGACCTGAAGCGCCTTGACGCCCCACGCTGCCGGTGAGCGCCCACGCGCAGGGGCGGACGCACCGCGCTCCATCGCCCGGGCCACGGAGAGCACGCCGTGCATCACCCCTCCCGCCTGCCGCGCATCGAGCCCCGTGAGGCGCGGGATATGCTTCTTCGTCGCGACGAGTGTGTGCCCTCATGGTCAGTCGCCGGCGCGTGGGTCCCCTGCGTACCAGAGCGGATTGGCAGCGTGTCGAGAAACGCGATGTACTCCTCCGTGTCGGCGACAATGTGCGCGGGCTGCTGCCCAGTGATGATGTCGCAGAACACGCACGACGCGGGGTGCTCCCCCCCGTCGTCACTGGGCCGCACACGGTCCAGAAGGAATGTAGTCATAGTGCGGCGCGGATGCGAGAATCCAATGTGCCTAGCGAGGGTGCTCTGTGCCCAAACACCCTCCACCTGACCTCCACCTGCCGCGCCTTCCCTTTCCACGAGGAAGCAGTGCGCCCTCTCCAGCGTCCACGCGCGCATGGCGGACGCGCAGCTGCGGGTGCCGGACGCACCAGCGGACGCTGCCCCGCAGGGGGTGCACCCGTTCCCCGAGAATCTGTACCGGCGCAGCAGCCCGCGAACCGAGTCGTACGGATTCGCCTTGTACACATTTGCGTCGGTCCTCTGGCTCGTATGGGTCGTGTGGGCGGCGAGTCCGGAGTGGCTCTTGGAGAGCGTTGGCATCGCATGGTTTCCCCGCAGGTGCGCAGGCCTGTGGGCACGGCTCACCCGCAGGGACTGGGCATACCTGCTGATTGCCTGGTCGCTTGTCCTCGTCTTATTCTCCTACTTTGCCTTTGTCGCACTCAACCTCTTCCACACACCCCCCCTGCATTCGACGGACCTGGTCGTTGGTGTGTAGCAGTGCTGCTCAGCTGACAGCAGACGACTGTGCGGTCCTGTACCGCCTAGATCGGATGCCCGCAGCGGAGCGTCTCCCCAGCGACCACCCACTGTATGGCCTCTCCGTGGCAGAGTCCGCCGCGGCGGGCGCGCCGCTGTGCGACGACGTCTACGACATGTCGCCCGGGCTTGTGTCGCGTATGCTGTACCTGCGCAGGGGGGTGGGGGGTGAGGAGACGGGGGGGGAGGAGAGGTGGGAGGGGGAGAAGAGGGGGGAGTGGGGAGAAGAGGGGGGAGGGGGGTAGGGGAGAAAAGGGGGGACGGGAGAGAACAGCCCCAACGTTGCAGAGGGCAGCCCTGACGACGCAGAGGGTGGCTCGGAGCAGTGGGCAAGGGGGAGTGCCCGCGGTCTGCGGAGGAATGCGTGCGGCTCCTAGGCAGGAGAGATACGGCTATGGACGCATAGACACACGGTGGCACATATGGTGGCACATACGGTGGCACCCACGGTGGCACACACGGTGGCACACAAACCTAAGTGCATCCGCAGAGAGCCCAAGGGCCTTCATGCACGGCGCGGCCGACGCACAAGATTCGAGTCCCGCTTGTCCCTGTACCGCCATCCCGCGCGTGGCACCTCCCTGTCGCAGAGCGCATCCGCGCAGCGGATGCGGAGTACATGCTGTGCAATGTGGCCAGGCTCCGTCACCGCGCGCCGCCGCATCCCAGACGACGCGCCGTGCTCGCTCCCGACAGCGTGCAGGCTCCCCTCCAACGTACGCGCCCGATCCAGCAGCACGTCCCGATGCGTGTGCAACGCTGCGGCATCCGCCTGCAGCGTGTCGAGCTCCGCGGACACGGCGCGGAGCTCGTCTGCTCGCGCGCGCTGCGTGCGCTGCTCGGCGTGCGCGAGCTCCTCTTCACCCAGCGCGGCCAGCTCACTGAGCAGCGCGTTCTGCCGCATACTCGCAGCGAATGCGCTTTTGTACCGTGCGAGTCCGTGCGCAGCGTGGCCGGCTGCTCGCTCGCGCCCGCGTCGCGGAGCGCATGCAGCGCCTTCGCATGCAGCGCCTGGAGATCAGCGATGCGCGTTTCCAGCCATGCCGCGCGGTCGTCGGCGATGTCCGCCCTCATGCGCAGCCACTGCGCGTCGAGGTCCGCGGCACGCCGTGCGACGGCCTCCCGCGCGTACGGTCGCGCGCAGCTTCAGTTCGCGCAGGCGGCCGAGTTCTGCGGTGAGTGGCGCGCGTCGCGCGCACGTACGAATCTCGGTCTTCAGGTCCTCGCACTCGTTCTGCAGCGCATGCTTGTCCTCGCGGAGCTCCTGGATGCGCGCCTCGGCGATCCTTGCGACCACGTCGGCCGTCTTGTGGCGCGGGAGCACAAGGGACTCGCGCTCCCCGCCGTTCGCGGCGCGCGGCGGGGCGCTGGCGCGGTGCGTGTCCGCGTCGCGTGCTGCGCCCCAGTGCGCCGCGGTACGCGGCTTCCGCGGCGTGTCTCGGCGCGCCGGCTCGCGTGTCGTCGGCAGGGGGAGGCGCGACGCAGTGTCGTTGGACGTGCCGGGTAAGTGGTGCGCCACAAACGCATCTGCGGCGCGCTGCGGCGTGCACCATGCAGGCATCGGGAGCATCGTCCTGCGGCGCGGCATCGCCACAGCGGTGTCGCAGTCCGCGCCCAGCACGTCCTCCATCTACGCAGGCTATCTGTCACAATGCTCATCGGCGGCATGCACCAGTCACGTGTCGCCGGGGTATACCGCGCTTGGGCCACTACTTGAACTGGGCGCGGCGGCGCAGGATCCCATGCACGAGCACAGAGGGGGTCGAATGCTTCGCTACGATGCGCCCCTCGTGTGTGTGCACGGGCACCGATGCGCGCCGGGTCTGTCCGCTGCGCCGCCGATCAATTCCACTGCGCCCACCGCGTTCCTCTTTCCAGTTCGGTTCGTTGCTGTACTCGTCGAGGAGCTGGGCGCGTCTTGCGCGTTCTTCGCGCGACAGTGCCGAGACGTCGACTTTGCGGCCGCCTAGCAGGACGTGTGTGTACTGGGGGTTAGGGGGAGGTAAGGGGAGGGAGGGGAGAGAGGGGAGGGAAAGGGAGGCGGCAGAGGAGGGGGCCGGGGGGATGAACAAGGAGGAAAGATGAGAGGGCAAAAAGGAAGAGATGGGGGCAGAGCAAAATAGGAAAAGGGGAGCAAAATGGGGAGACGGGGAAGCAAAAGGGGGTAGATGGGAAGAGGGCAAAATGGGGAGATGACGGGGACAAAAGGGGAGAGCCGGGGGGGACGAAAAGGGGAGACGGGAGAAGCAAAAGGGGGTAGATGGGGGAGGGTAAAAAGGGAGGTGACGGGGTCAAAGGGGGAGAGCCGAGAGAGACAAAAAAAAGGGACGAGGGGACAAAAAGAGGAGACCCAACGGGAAAGAGCGCTGAAAAACACATACCGCATCCCCCTCCTCATTCTCCCCGTCGCTCGGCGACGCCGTCGGCGCACGGCGCGCCCGCCGCTTCGCAGAGTGCGCACGTGTACGCAGTTTGGCAGGCGGCGCGTCATCGTCCGAGGCGATGGCGTGATGCCGCCCATCCTGCTCTGCGCGGCTGTGGCGGAGAAGCTCGGTACGGAACTCGTTTGCGGAGAGCCGCTCGCGCGGCGCGGACTCGTCATCGCTCGCAGCGGTCGGCGCCTGGAGAAACTCGTACGTGGCGAGGTCGTCCATAGGCTTGTGCGTCTCCGCATATGTCTGCACGAATGCGTGCGAGTCCTCGCGGCCCGCTGCGGGTGAGTGGTGTGCGTGGGGTCCGTACCGAGATCGTCCAGCCGGTCGCCGTCGACGCAGCGGCGCTTCGCCTTGGCAAAGTGCGGCGCCTGCAGCCGGCGGCGCAGCGCATCCTCGTCCGCGTCCTCGTCCAGCAGGTCGGCGAGCGCGGACTCATCACGGTTCCGCCGCCGGCTGCGCAGCAAGCCCTTGGCCGCACGCTCATGCAGCGCGTGCGCGGCGGCGTCGTCGTCGCCGCGGTCCTGCAGGTACCGCAGCCGCGCCGCCTCGTCCTTGTCCGCCTCGTCCTCGTCGCGCTCGTCGTCGAGGAGTTCTTCCAGGTCGCGGTCGTCGTCAGAGTGTTCGTCGTCGCCCGAGTCGCTCCCCCCGTCGCTGAAGATGCCCGCGAGGCCGCCGTGTCCTCCCGTGCGCGTCTCGTCGTCGGACTCCTCCGCCTCGCCAAAGACGAACGCCGTCGGCGCCGCGCGCCCGCGGCGGTGACGCGCGTTGCCCCCGTACATCGGCGACGCGCGTGGAGAGCGGCGTGTGGCGGTGCTCTCTGCATCGTCGTCAGAGCCACTGTCCTCCTGCGGTGCAGCCGCGCCGCTCGCCACGCCAACGCTTTCGGGGCGCGGACACAGCCCCGCGTCTCCGACGTCGCGCAGCGCACCGTCCACGGCGTAGCTGTGCACATCCTTGTCGCCGGTGCCACGGACATCCGCGTCCGCGCGCTCCTCGTGCCCCGGCGCGCGCTCGCCCGTGTCGACCCGCTGGGAGACCCACGCGGCGTCCGGCTTCGTCTGAGTAAAAAAACCGTCCTGGTTGATGTACATGACGTCGCTCTCTTCGCGGCTTGGCTTCGCGCCGTGGCCCATGTCCTCGCCGTACGCAGCAAGAGACGGGTCCAGCGACGGGAGCAGCTCCGGCGACAGGAACGCCTGCGCGTCCTTCTGCTGCGCACGCCGCAGAGCGGCGAACCCGTCCGTCGCACGCCGCGTCATGGGCGGCGGGGGCATCATGCCAGGGCCGTGGCTGCCCGTGCATGGCGTCCGCACGCTGCCCGTCGGCGGCAGGGACTCGCGCAGCATCTGCGTGGTC